GGCTCTGTGCATTTCTTCATGCCTCATCTCCACGTCATCTGTTGACCTCCACGTGGTTTCGTCCAGCCTGCATTGGCTCTGGCGAATGAAGCATCCTGTATATGAGGGATCAGTATGTAAAATTTCCTCAGCGGATTCTTTTTGAAACGCTTTTACTGAAAATGCTGTCCTAGGCCCTAACAAGATTTTGCTGGTCCCTGGAGGCGGGTGACAATTAAACGTGGCTTTCTTCGTAAACTCGAAACTAATCTTACTGGCGGTAATGATATCACAGTTGATGGGTGAAATGATATGCCGTTTAATGTTCAATGTTTCCGGAGGTTTTTTGAGTAACCCATTCGATTTCCACGATAGACAATAATAAGCGGTTTAACCCAGTTTGAAATATGAGCGAACTTATTCAAATTGGCGCCTTCATATCCAATCACTCATCACCCGAAACCTCTGAGTTCTACAAGTAATGCTATAGATTGTAATTCATCTCTCCTTTTGCCGATGAAGTTCGCTCGGTTTCCAGTGACAAAATTTTTCTCAGTCGATTGATGAATCTATCGATGCATCACATCACTGCTAAATTTCGATAACGATGAAACACACCGGCTTGACAACTTACCTTACATTGTCTGTTACACTAATGTGGAATATTGATGCCTCCCTGCTATCGACAACTGTGGTGCCACGCAGCTTTGCTGTAATCCGGTTCAATATCACGCCTAATCAAGTTGGACTCTATGTGGTTTGCCACTCCAAGTCCTGAGTCTATAGGGTTCGCTTCGTCTGCTGCTCGTCACAGAAATGTGTAATAAAAAACCGGCATCGTTTTGCTTTCGTTTTGAGTCTCCTAGATCATGTTTGTTGTTGCTTTGGGATGGTAATGTTAAGAAACTTCAAGTACCTCGATAGTTTTGAATGGAGCGAAATCTGGGACAGTTGCTCAGTTACATGCGATTATTATTAATCTTTCTATAAACCTAATTTAAGAAAATGGTACCTTCCTTCAAATCCGGTAATTTGTTCCAACCAAATGATCGCTTCATCTAGTTAACACCCATGAAATATAAATAAAACACGCGCTCCATTTTTCCAATTACATTTGTACCAGATGGTCTATTGGGTCAAATCATTGATGACGCACTACTACCTGGTCGTAGTTTTCGTAACCTACAGCGACTGGTGCTATCAAGCAATCGTGATTCGACGGAAACGGATGTCGGCTTACTACTATTAGCTGGCCAAGCTTCTTTGAATCACGTTGCTCTGCAGATCGCGCACACCCGAAATTCACTGTTTGAAGCTTTGGCATGTGCATCAGCCAAATTCCCGCGACTGGAAAACGTCATTCTTGGTAAGGGATCTTTCTGATTCAGTGTTTTCGTAGCGATATTTTACACATATTCGCTGTTCACTGAATTTCGCGCTTCACATGTAATAATTAGTTGTCACAAGCGGGCAAGTGATCTGTATTATATTGTATTTCACGCGTCTGCGTTCAGACTGCCAAACAAGTCACGGTACAATAATCTTTCTTCAAAGAAAAGTTCAATGATTTACTAGTGGGCGGAATACTCTCTGGTTGTCCAGACCAAGGCAGGACAAATGTTTTGGTATTCCGTAATCGCTTGTTCACATTCGATGCCAATGCGTGCTCTAAAACCTCAATGCCCTGCTGCAGCCTGAGTTCTGAGAATTTTCGAACATAAAATGTAAGCGATCAGTGCGAAGTTTTGCTAGATGAGATGACAATATCCACAGTAACCCACTTGTTATATACAAATGTGTTACTTGCACGACTATCCGTGATAGGATGGATCTCAGGATTTTTGTCCATTACCATAAGGCTTTGTCGTTCCGCGGGTCATAACTGTTGTCAGCAACTTTACCTAGAGTCAATATTGGAGCTTTTATATCCAGAGTGAGTCTTACATGGCGCATATACTTATGTTGCCTTCATTTTGAAGCATGCTGGGATTAGTTACGGTGTTGAACCATTATCATACTTGTAGCTGGTTAGCCTCAACTTTTCGGATTCAGATCTTAGTCTGATATCAGGGTTTAATGATTTTGATGTACTGTAATCAATGATATAACCAAGCAGTCACTCGATGTCTCGGCATAATTCGTTTTAAGTTGGTATCGAACATCGCACGTTTCCTTGTTCATCTAGTGTATTCCGATGATAAACTCTTGGTTGTTCTTCCAGGTTATCAAGATCCTTACCAGTCCCGACTCACTGTCTCAGAACTGATGAGTGTTGGTATTGGGGAGTCATCCGATCATCTGTTCCCAATATGCAACGTGACTGATTGGGGTGTGTCATTACTGTTCGAAATGTGTCCGAGACTTACTAACCTCACTATACGTCACGCACCCTACTTGACTTCAATGCGAGAATGGAAGCCACATCCTTTGGAACCCGAAGAACAGGATGTCGACGGGTTAGCACACCAGCAACCTCAACCCCAATCTCAACCACAATCATCCCCCCCGAACAGGATTGGTCCTGACGAGGATCTAATTCCGGATGAAGGTACAAATGAAAACAACACCGGAACTAGTTCAGATCCGCATGCACCGGTCCTTCGTTCGCTCACCCTCGAAAACTGTCCGGGTTTGCGTATCGAGGTTAGTATCTAATATAATGAAGGTAGTAACAATTTTGACAACCCAGGCTTTTGAGTTTCTTAAGATGATCTTGTTGAGAATTCCAACATAGTGAGATGAATGAATATAGATATTTCTGCTATACGTCCTTTGAGAAGTAAAAAAAGCACCGCTAAATTCTACGTTTTTGTTACCCTCCCTTTAGTTTGACGCATCTTTCGGGCGGTTTATTAGATCATGGACAGTGCCACGTGGAGTATAGCTTCTTCGATACCCGCCTCTCACGCGAGGGTCGCTTATTTTGACTTGAAACTGTGGTATTTAATCAATTGGTGCCACTTGTATGAAAATAGCTCACAGACAGTAGAAGCAGTAGTCATGGCGATTGGCTGTTCGGTTATTTAGTCTGTAATTTGTGGCCAACCCCAATTATTTCAATGGTCCCACATGAGGTGTTAATCGAGTCATGGCAATAATTGTCAATCTACAGTGAAGAAACAGTAAAGTTTAGAACAGGCTCAGTTCAACGATCCTGGTTTCGGTATATTGATATGGCCCGTTAATCTGTCCGACGCGAGCTTGGTGGTTGCTCTTCACCGAAGAAAAAATGCCAGACATCCCAAGCAAATATTACTGCTAGGTATTCCATTTCTGTTATCACATGATTCTGTATTTTAGATTTGTCTCCTTGTCATCTGTATTGGGATTGATACTAAGAGTTAAACCAATACCGAGTTGTCATCAGGTTGTGTGGTTGGAATACTTTCATTCTCATTCAGAGCTTGGAACAAGCACTGTCAACCGGCGAGCCTTTCCCCTGCTTGGAAACATTGGTGATGCGAGATATGTTTATGTCACGATTCCAAACTGAATCTTATCCGTTTGGGGAGCAAACATGGAGTGACAAAATGAAGTGGACCACACCTGGCACGTCAGATGAAGCTTCACAGACCCAACCGTTCCACCCAGAAGACGTTGATTGGAGTAAAGCGAGTCATTTACTTGCTCTTTCCGATCTGTTGAATGCACGTCGCCTGGGATTTTCTTCTATTTCTCCCGAGGGTATTGGGCTATCATCATCTGTCCGTGAAGTTGGACATCTGAGCCAGACGCACGGTCTGCGTTTGGTTGACCTACCTGTTCGACCGTTCGACCTTTTTGTGAGTTACTTGTTATTCTTTCGATTATGTTGAAACTACCTTGACCGGTGGGGAGTGGAAAGCCTGGTGTTTGTCTTTTGTCTATATCGTTCACAGTAGGTTCACGCTTAGATAATCTTGGATAGAAATCCCTCACTTGTTTCGTGCACGGTAACATTTTCAGCGTATAGGTTGTCGTAAGAGGGCGAATTATTCACGTCTTTGGGTTGAATTTAGTTCGATTTCGCGTCGACTAAAGTGACGTCTGCTAACCAGCGTACATCTGTCTACTTATTCAGTAGTCCGAACTAACTGATAGTAGGAGTGTATAAAACAATAAGAACTGAACGAATTAAAGATAAGACGAACGTTTGACGGAGGGTGTGTTTGTAAGCATACATTTCTCTTTTGCCTCCATATTGGTTGAAGGGAACTGCTGGAAGTTCACACTTGATGCATACATCACGCAACACGCTTTAATTCCAGGAAATACCATATTCTTCCCATTGACATCTCTCAACCCATCCATAAGCATCGACCGAAGTCAATCATAGAATCAACTTTATTTTACTCCTCCACATCATGAAAAAATCATTTGGACGCTTTTCCTGTAGATGATGATCTATACAAACAGTAGTCGACAAGCACTTATAGTGCGTCCTAGCCGTTGGAGGCAGTGTAGTGCAATCATTTCGGTTTGAGGGACGAATTTGTTCACCCAGACTTCGGAGTGCATAAGGGATGCCACCGTAAGTATGCGATGCCTCCGGGACAGTGATGTACGAATAATAAAAGCTG